AACAATTTACATGAAGAGATCAAAACTATAACCATAATACGAGCAATAACTCTTGTGTACAACACAATATTCTACAAAGATGTATATGATTATAAGTTGAGTAGCATCTTGCAGTGTTCTTCTTCTTCATCTTCTTGTTGAGCAAGTTCCGAGCATAAACTTCTTGCTTCTTCTGAGATCTACCAAGATATATATGATAATAGTTGATTAACATTTTATAGAATCTTCTTCTTCATTGAGAAATCTATGAGCAACAACTCCTTGCTTCTTCATGTTTCATCCAAGAAGTATATGATGAATAGTTGAATAACATATTGTTGAAATCTTCTTTCTTTTCTTCTTTCTTTTCTCTCTTTTTTCTGTAGTGGTCTTCAGAATGTGTAGCATTGCAGCTTTAAGATCTTCAACATCCACGAATTTCCTTTCACAGGTAAAAGATTTATTTGGCCAAGGGTGGCACTTTACTCAAATCTTTGATCTTATTTTATAGCCTTGAGATATATATATATATATATATATATATATATATATATATATATATATATATAGAGAGAGAGAGAGAGAGAGAGAGAGAGACTGTGAGGATTGAAAAGTCCTTTCCTACATTAATGGTTAGTTCCTAACTGATAGAATAAGGTGTAAGAATTTGGACAGTACATAGTAATACTTTTTATTATCTGTCACTTTACAATGTTTAACTTTAACCTTATCTTTAATATACATTTAGCTTGTGGACATAGATCCGTTAAGGATAGAAAGATAATATGGGAAACAATTGTTTGTTCACCATCACATGTTAACCATTTTGAACTTCTTCTTATCTTCAGAGGCTTCAGATGATTTGAATGTTGAAGCTTGTTATAGAAGATTTACTATTGAGTCTTAGAACCTAAGTCTTGGAGTCTTCAGAACTTGTCCTATCAGAACCTCGTCTTCAGAGTCTTCAGAACTTGTCCTATCAGAACCTCGTCTTCAGAGTCTTCAACACTTGGTCGTAAGGACTTGCTTTTCTTCAGATCATCAGAACCTGTTCAGCAAAACCTTGTCTTCATAATCTTCAGAACTTGTAACACAGAGAAGCAAAGCTTTAGAAGGCCTCTAAAGCTTAACCACCAAGTTATGATCAGAACCTCTTGTACTAACGTTCCTTAGACACATTGCATAAGATGTATTCAGAATATTTAATTCAACTGTAACACATAATCAAATGTATTCTTCCAGAGTGTTTATGTTCAAAACCTGATGACATCACACACCTTGTACTAGAGTTAGAACATTTTAGCAGCAACTACACACTGGAACAAAACCATTAGAGTATACAATTGTTCTCAATGACATCATGTAAAGTTCTCATCAAAATCCTAAGGCCAGGTGTAGAAACACTTCTTGTTCTTACAGTATAAAGCATACTGATTTCAAATACACTTGAACAAAATGTCGCAGATTTGAAACCCACCCAACACATATTATATAACCATTGGGATTTGGGGTTAGAGCAGTGCGCGGTGGGAAAAAGTCTCCAAGAATTTGTATCTTGTAAGATTAATACACACCCATTCATACACACTTGTTATGAGATGACCCATTTCAGGGAAGCGTATCTATTTATTCTCTGGTGCATCTCCACTAACGCAAGGTACAAGAGTTTTATAAATCTCCTCAACTTTCTCTTTAGTCCTGAGCACCCGTGTATATGAATCTTTATTTCCCCTCAACTCTCTTATAAGAGTATCACGAACAAGTTGGTGATCCTCTTCCCCTTTACCGAGAAAACCAGAAACAACTCGAAAACCACAGTTACTGTCACCCCCAACAATGACGACCCATTCAATGTACTTGTGCATAAAAACCGACATGTGAACGATGAATGGTATTTTGGGTGGAGTTGGTGCAGAAGGTGGTTTGCTAATACAGGCACCTTTGAAAGCACTTTTCTGAGATTTCAGAGTAGGTGAATCAGGAATTTTTTTGTCAACATGTTCAAAATATGAATGACTCCTCCTAGTTGAACTGTCACCCAATGTTGATTTCACCTTCTTAGGTGCCCCTTTAGTTTTTATCGGTTGAGATGGTGGTTTCAAGTATGTGGTCTCTGGGAATGCAATCTTACTTAACTGCTCTTTAATGTGGAGTTTGGTGGCGTCATCGGCTTTCAAAAATATTTCTTGTATCGCTTCCCATTCAGTCAAGATGGAAATACTTGATTTATCATTTTCATTTTTCCGTCATCTTCAAAATAGAGTTTGTTCCAATGACTAAAGACCCCGTCCATACGAATCGGGCAATCAACTTTTATCTTCTTAGATATGACACAAGTACAAGGGAGACCATATGTTTTCACAATTGTACAACCACACTTTGAGTTGTCGGAACCGACATTAGAAGCTCGTTTAGCTTCGTGAAAATTATAACTCAGAGTTGCCCGACCAAATGTTGTCTATATCTCGTTATACTGGTCCAGTATCATCTGGTTCACAGGATCCCAACCCGTAATCAAATCACCTTTGCTATTTCTCAGCCAATTCTTCAAACAAGCATGAGCAGACTCAACTCGGTTTGTTGTTGTATTTCTAAGATGCATAACCTGGTCGGTCCAGGCACAAACAATCTTCTCTTTTACCTGATTCAGTATTGTGCTTTCAACATATTTCAATAGATCAAGATATTTATCACAAACCTTCCTGAACTGTAAAACAACATCCACGTATATCTCTTTTGTAGATGAATTTATGATAACATTCCATTCATCCATAATTTTCTCCACAATAACACTCGCCTTGACCAATTTTCCATCTTCCCCTGCAATTTATTTTATCCTCACCGCGAGTTTAACCCGACTTCTGACATTTTTAGTAATATGTTACCTACAAAGTAATGCATAAGAAGTGGGAAATATTATTGCAACCGAATTTATTAATGTTATATCTTGGTCAGTAACAATGACTTTCGGTACATCTTCTTGATCATTCAACATTGACCTACAAACCTCTAAAGCCCGTGCAAAATTGTCCTCTTTTTCACACTCTAGAAATACAAAACCAACAGAATATGTCTTCTCAGTCGACGTAACACCAACAATTTCCAACAATGAAAGCTCGTACTTGTTAGTCTTATACGCTGAATCAATTATGAGAACAGTGAGAAACGTATTGAACGATTTAATGGAGTTAGGATGAGTACAATAAATATCTCTTACGGTTACCCCATCATCACCTCGTCGGTGCCTACAATCGTAATTATTTTCATCTAAAAGTTTCAAGAGGTGTTGCATCTCAGTTCGCTCCCCCCTAATCGGTAATTTGGATTGATAGCGCCTATTGTAAACTTTCTTGATATTTAATGTATTTCTGGGTCTTTTGCTCTTCAAGGTTGCAAGTATGTTTTTGAGCAGTACCAAGTTCAAAGTCATGTCAGAAACACGTGTCTTCTCATCCGAAAGGAGCCGACATGCAATTGGATGACCGACTAACTTTTGACTTAAATCATAGTTGTGTAAACCACGTATCACATTAAATCTTCATTTGTTATTTGCCAAAAGATAACCACGCAACCTAAATGGACATTCACATTTTCTTGAACCGGTGTCGTCGCGTTTCAATTTTTTAATACGACATATATAATTCCCACTTCTTTCGCATATCAAAGTCACAAATGCATTTCTTCTATCCGTACCATAATCGGACCTCCCAATCACAACACCAAATTCTAGTTTCGTAGCCTCTATATGAATCCACTGCAACATGTCTTCACGTAATTCAAACTCTTTTCTATTTTCAAAATGCACACGAATATCTACCACCCTAGTTACGATAGGAGATACGAGAGGTGAGACAAATTGAGACACATTAGGTTTGAGAATGTTATTGGGATGCACCGTACCTAATGTTATAAAAAACATAAAACTTATTAACACTTACATAGAACATGGCATAAACTGCTCTTAATTAAACAGACAGAAATCAGAAATGCATTTCCGATTACGTTCAATTACAAACCGAAAATATACATCCGGTTTTGCGTAACCTTTTTTCACAATGTAAAACAGATTAATGTAAGGAATGAGGATTAAAATGAATAAACTTTATCTTAAATTCCTTGAACTCCTTTTGATATGATGAACCACAAAAATGAAGATTTAGAGTGAAAAAATAGATTGAGAATGGAAGGGTTTTTGAGAGATTTTGTGGAAAGAAGAAATAGTTTGATCAAAGTTGACAATGCTTGTTATTGTTTTAAGCATTATGAATTTTCTATAATACCTGGAGTATATTTCCAGTTATATACGAAGTGAAATGTGACAGAAAAAATCAATCTTACCGCTCTAAAAATCGGAAATAAAATACCGTAACAGAGCCGAAAGTATATCTCTGATTTTATTTTTTATATTTTGAAGATAAAATCACATTTGACATGTTTTTGTAATATATGATGCGAATCGAAAATGCATATCCAATTTTCGAGAGGCATTTTCGAAATTACAAAAAATCTTTCTTTTAGGTATAGGGTAAAATTAAAAATTCCCTAAATAATTTAGCGCTAGGATCAACCAGATTACTTAAACTTAAGTTTTAAAATTTAAATTTAACAATCTCTACTCTCTTTTTGTCAGACCATTCTGTAATAAAAATGTTTATCATACTCTTTCTCAGTGATTCAAATTTGGATTTATGTTAAGAATACAAGTTAGGGAATTAAAGAAAACTACGAAAAAATATATATTAAAAGTAACAAACTTTATTTTAAAAAAAATTAATGCAAAATTTATAAAACAAAATCTCTACATTGAATTGAATTTCTTAACTTGTAGCCTAAAATTTAAATAAATCTCAGATCCTACATCCTAAAAAATATCCTACATAATTTTAATGAAAATCATACAAATCAAATTATAAACAAAATTGATTTTTTAATACATTTGACTTAATGTATATAGTTCATATACATACATTCATTGTCAAATTGTACCAAAAAATTCAATTTTACTTATAATTAGTTAATAGCCCCCTTACCTCACCCAACAACACGTTTCTCAAATTTCATTTGTAAAAATCCAGCCGAGGTTTGCAAATATACCCAGACACACTTGCCCCACAAAAAAGGAGGAAAAAATTCATGCAGATGAAAATGATGTTCAAGAGTTCCTCAATTTAGTCAAATTATTTAAAAGCATTGACAGTTGCAAATTAAAGAGGAAAAGTATACCACAAGTACAAACAAAGACAAGAGTAAGCTTGTACAAAACGATAACAGTGATGCATTTGAGGATCGGAATATCTTTTAGCATCAAGGTTAATTTTAACATGACATTTCACATGTTTAAGGGTTTCTTGCAGATTACATTTGTAACAGCTTAAGGGTTAAGACTTAAGAAGGGGCCATCATTGCTAATTAGTGAAGATATGTAGCTTGATACTGGTAACCGTTTCCGAAGTAATTTCCAGGATTAGGAGAGACGTTGTTATAGGTTGCCGAACTCAGGAAAGGGGTGCAGTGATTTTCAGTTGGGCCAGGGTACATATAAGGTTGGTTATACACATATTGAGGGTACCTGTCAGCAACTCTAGCATAGGAGGTTTTGTCGGAAGGAACATTAGTGACACGGGGAGCATATCCCACACCATTAGCACGAGGCCTCTTTGGTTGAGGTTTTGTTACTTCAGTTTCTCGCTTTTTGTCGGCCTTGGCCTTCTCTAGTTGGATCACTTGTTTCTGGAGAGGATCCACGGGATACCGCTCATCAAGCTTATGTTCTTCAATGCACTTGATTATGGCCTTGAGAGCAAACAGCTCTCTTTCATTAACCTCAATCTGAGACAAATAGAAAATTATTAGGAATATTCACACACGTACAAACACATTTCTATAATCAAACATCAAGATGAATATTGAAGATATGTTTCATTCTAATTATTTTGGAGCATAAAGATAAAGAGGGACACAACGGAAATACCAAATATATGCTTTTCTACCACAAAAGCATTGGATACATTCTTAAGACAATCCAAGATGATAATTGATAGAGAATGCCTTCCCCCATTTCCGGGTGGCCATACAACAGATACTACTAAACAACTTATGTTATCTACATACTCTCTCCGTAATGAATTATAAGCAAAATTGACTTTTTTTGATATATTTGACAATTAATGTATGTAGTCCATATATGGATTACATACATTAATCGTCAAATGTACCAAAAAAGTCAATTTTGTTTATAATTCGTTACGGAAGAGTTATCATCAGATTCATCACCCGTCCTTACAGCCACAGAAGCGACTACTCATACCAGCATAGAGCTTCTGTTAGTCCCTGCGAGGGAATCTGAGAGACAGCCAAACCACCCAGTTGAAAGAAGTATACTAGACCGCATAAAAACAGCAGAAATAACTGCCTGATGGCAGTTAGATTGGGAAATAACTAGTGGTAGAACTACTTAATGGAAGTTATGATTGCAAAAGTTATTGTTGGCAATATATGTGATAGTAGCCAGTAGGGTGTGCATCATGTATTTATGTTAAGCTCTATTGTGGGCAGAGAATACCATCTGTAGGAGACTTTGGTCTCTGGGGCCAGTAAGTGTATTGCAGTACTGTGCATGATTTTTGTGTTTGATTCGATGATATGACCATTATCTCTCCCGAGCACCCCATTATCTTCGAGAAACCCACAATATAAGCATAGGAACTCAACTTAAAGCAAAGAAAGCCGAGTCAGATTACAAATCAGAGTTTATGATGTAAATTAGTGAAACTAGGCTAGCTCGTTGAGAACGGCTTCCTCTCTTCTCTAACAAATGCAATGTCGCTTTACTTTTGTTTTACTTTTGATAAAAAATGAAATTCATTATGGCAAAGAAAAAAATTAATTCATAGAGTAAGGAGAATGAGATCATACAACCACCACCAAGGCTTTTTTCCCACTAGGTGAGGTTCACTACAAATCAACAGGTGCGATAATGTTCATTTTGAATAATTATAAAATTCCAAATCCTTCATAACGATTGGCCTATAGGGTTTCCCTCCCTCTATATTTTATTAATGGATTATCCTACATCTAATCTTTAGGTGTCCTACACCCATGTCCAAACTACCCAAGGCAAGACCCTATCAACGTATCCACAATATGTACTACCCCATATTTCTCTCTAATGGTTTATTTTTAACCCTATATTGTCTTGTAGCCGTTCATCCTTCATAGGATTCTCATGCTAACTGAATTGACTATCTTGTAGGCCAGCTTCTTATCGCTGAACATTCAATCCTATACATCAATACAATTCTTATCACTGTTTAAGATTCTCTTTCAAGTATGAGTGGGGCACCTTTTCATCACAAATTATGTCTTGAAGCATTTCTGCTTGAATTCTGTGATTTGCATCTCTACTATTCCCCATCCTTTGGCGGGCTTGACCCAAAATACTTAAACTACACAACTCGTAATGAGGTAAGTTATCTAATTTTCATCTCTAAGGTAGAATTAGCATAGCTCCTGCTAAACTTACATTTCATATACTCGATTTTACTTCTCCAAAAACTTACATTCTCTATACTATGTTTTACTTGACATGAATTAACTCCCTCAAAGGTTGATTTTGTCGATTGTTACGCAAGTCCTCGTGAATATGGTTTTATTTCTATTTAGCCCTCTCACAAAAGAAACCTTTTAGGTTGACAGACAAACATTGCATGAATCAATCTACCTTATGTTGAATTCAACTTTTACCATAGAAGAATGGGGTTGGTAAGGATCAAACTCTAGCCCACTTGGTCATTAAAAGTTTCAATACCATGGTATGAACCAATTCTTCAAAAACTTAGTAGGCGAAAACTCATGCATGGTTTTACACCCACTTTAGAAAACTCATGAATGATTTCATCCATGCCAAATTGTGGCACAGTACTGTTGCAAAATCTCAACATGTGCACCTTAAGTTAACCACAGTTGAGTAGAAACGTATTAAAATTAGGAAACAGCTCTTGAGATTGTTCCTCAATAAGTATAGTATCTGATTTGACAATACATTCTCACATTATTCTAAAAAAATTATAATACAGTCACTCGCTTGCAACTAAAAACCTTAATATTTAACGATGACAATATTAGAGAACCGACAAACTTAATTACACATGTACAACTGGAGATACAAGTCAGAAGAACTATACAATACTAGTTCATAGCACTTTTTCAAATCATCTAAAGAAAAAACACAAGGAACGATCACTTAATATAGTAGACACTGAAAAACTTACCTGTGCAGTGGAAGATGAGTTTACACTCTTGACTGGAGTAGAAGTTTTCTTAGCATCATTCAGATAAGACTTCAGCAAAGGAATAGGAGAAAATTGTTCTATAAGATCAAATGCAAAAGCCAAGTTAACAGCATCAATTTGCCGCCCACTGTTTACTAAAACTTCAATCACACCTGCACATCAAAAGTAAAATGAATCGTTTCAATTTATATTAAACCGAAAAATATTTGAAGAACCTAAGAAAACAACTTTATCATAATGTAAATCCAGAAACATATTTAAAGAAAAAGAAAAATGAACATGAGATAATTAGAAGAAAACTTAGTGCATAAAATTAAACATTATAAAAATAAGAGCCAGTACATACCAGGCATCTTCTCCGACAACCCAAGGCACCGGCATAAATCAGCAGTTTGGCGACGCCGAGATACCATTGGAATTAGCCTGGATAACTCCTCCTCGTTAAAATCAGAGGCAATACCAAAACTGGCTAGAAGTTGCAAAAATGCATGAGCCTCTAAGGAATTCCCATTGCTAGCATCAATGTCAAGAGTATCCAATCTTGGTTTCCACTCTTCAGCAACTGCCTTTGCCCTATCCTTGATATCTTCAGAAACCACATTAGAATCAGAACCGAAATCGGTTAGGAAATCACTTAGACATTCCAGCAGCATGATACTGGTTCGGCGAAGACCCAACAAGTTAGCATCCTTCTTTATATCCTGATTTGACACTTCGGTAGAATAAAACCCTTCCAAAGAATCTAAAACTAGACGGGCAGCATTAGGAGCCGCTCTTAATGCAAGTGGTATTTCCTCCCTTACAGCAACAAGGTTCTTGCGATTGTCAGATATAAATTTGTGAAGTCCAGCTGAATCTATCTCTTTGCATAGTTTTACCAACGCTGGATAAGACATCATGTCCACATTTACGTTTTCAGGAGGATGTTTCACATTTTCTAAGTTATCTTCACCCCCAGTGGACACAGCATCCTCGGGTTTCTCCTCGACACCTGGCGAGCCTTGAATCCCATTAAAGACAATACCAAAATCCTTTGATGAAACCTTCCTGTATTTTTCTCGGGCATTTACAATGGTGAATACAGCAACATCTCTTTTCTCTTGAAGACTCTGCAGCGAGGCTTGCTCCTTGGCAAAGGCAGTCGCTTCTTTTTTCTCCAACATTTCACGAGCTTTCCTTGTTTTGCTTTCAAATACTTTTTCTTGGTCTTCGAGTTCATGAAAGCGCCTCTTCAAGGATTTCTCCAGCCCGTGAAAATGTTCCTCTAATTCTTTCCATTTCAAATTTAGAGTAACCGCTCGGTAACTTTCAAGTTCAGCAAAAGCCTTTTGCAGCTGTTGTATCTTTGAAGATGTAGAGTCCATCATTTTAGCAACCGAATCTTTGTCTTCCATAGCAAAGAAGCTGAACAAAGCAATGCTATAAAAATCAAAGTTCAACTTATATAACATCCTAATGAGTACCATTACAAAAATATCCAAAACCCTATAGCTAAACCTAACATTATGCCTAAAGTAAAGGGTAAACTAAACAAGCATTTTGGTCCCTAAATGTGCGAGATAATGTCACTGTAGTCACTTAATGTATCAAAATTACAAACACATGCCTAAACCTGTCTTTAGTTTTTACTAGTTTTGTCCTTAAATGTATTATTCATAGGTCAATTTAGTCCATCAAATTATTAGCAAAAAATACATTTGATGATGTGCTTATAATTTCAAAATTTATGAACTATTGTGAGTTGTGACAGCGCTTCACACTCTCAAAAGACCAAAATGGTTACCCGAAAAATGGTTGACTACACGCACCTCCCTAAAATGCAGAGCCATCTCAATTTTTTGGAGGTCCTAAGTAGGTTAGTCCGTGTATGTCAGTCACAGCTCAACCATGAGAAAATAATGAGAAAATAATGAGAAAATAGGATATGTGTCAACCAATCACCGACATGTATTCCGCCAAATCAGACTGTAATTTTTAAGTTAATGGTATGACATGGTTGAGAGATGAATTCCTATGGACGACACTGTAAAACTATTTTATACTGTCAGTGCATAACTATTAAACTATAATTAAAAACCCTATTT